CCTGTTTTTGTTCTACCAGAAAGAGAAGCTTGATTTCCAAGTGGGAGCTGGTTCATTGTTTTGTTCTCTGTGGGGAGGATCGAGACAGAAGAAATGGATTTTTTTAAAGAATTCTTAATAGGGTATATTCTGGGAAAATTAGAATTTTGCCAAGAGGGTTGTAAAAGAAGCTCATGAATGAAAGTAGCTTGGAGAGCTTTTGATGACTTTTTGCCATTGAAACAAATCCTTCCTTACCTGGTGGTTTGTCCTGAACTGGATCCTTTTGGGAGATGTCTCTTAACAGTGGATCCCTAGAAGGTTTGAACAGATTCCCTCTTACTTCGGAGCATTCGTTGACCAAATTAAGACACAATGTCTTCACATGAAACTGCAGACATCAGAAAGGAATGGATTTAACAGAAATGTTAAATGGGACAGAAATGGGACAAAATGCATTTACAACTTCCATCCCATCTCCCCTTCTGCTCCATGTACAACCGTGGGAAAAAAGCTTGGGGTTTTTTTCTGGGAAATTTTCAAAAAGGCCAACAAAATCTTTGCTTTGAGAAGACGTTATACTCCTTTCTTATATGATTAATACCAGAAAGGACAGAGAAGACTATTTCATGGCCAGCTCCAAAATGGTTTGGAGGGACTGGATATTACCACCCCCACAAACGGATCACACCTTCATCTCTTCCTGCTTCTTCTCCTCCACCTGGCTCAGAAGAAAGCTTTCTGCCAAGGCCACCGCTTGAGAACTAGTCTCCACTCCACATTCCTTGACCCAGTTCTTGATCTCCGGGGGCAGGATGGTCAGGAGTTGCTCCAGGATCACCATGTCCAGCATCCGAGACTTTGAGTTTCTTTCTGGCTGCAGCCACTGGGAGCAAAGATAGTGAAGGTGGCTGCATATTTCTCTGGGACCCTTGATCTCCTGGTAGCAGAACTCTCTAAACATTTGTCGCTGGATGTCAGTGCTGATTTTTTCTTCATCTGGGATCTTCTGCTTGCATCTTTCCCAAATGTTCAGACTGGTCTCCCTGGCAAGGAGAGGGTGTACTGCTGTTTCCTCACATTTTGATCTTTTTCTATCCATTTTCCATCTATGTTCAATCAAATTTCCCAATGGGTAAAAGGTCTCCAAACCTTCTTCCATCTATAGAATCAAAACTTCTGAAAAGGTCCAGTAAGGAATCTAAAAAGGCCACTGAGCTCTCTTTGATGATGGAAAATTTGCAGATAAAATAGCATACATCCAGCTCCCCAAGCTATTCTCCCAAGCGCCGGAAGGCAGGACAAGAAGCAACGGATGGAAACTAATCAAGGAGAGAAGCAACTAGAACGAAGGAGAAACTTCCTGACAGAACAATTAACCAGTGGAACAACCTGCCTCCAGAAGTGGTGAATGCTCCAACCCAGGAAGTTTTTAAGAAAAGACTGGACAGCCATTTGTCCAAAATGGTATAGGGTTTCCTGCCTGAGCAGGGGATTGGGCTAGATGACCTCCAAGATCCCTTCCAACTTTATTATTATTATTATTATTATTATTATTATTATTACTACTACTACTACTATTATTATTATTATTATTATTATTATTATTATTATTATTATGAGAGAACTGTCCTAACCCCAACCCCTTTCAATTTTTTTAAATAACATTCAACCAGAGTTAATGGTTTGGGAGAATGCCTGCAATCAAGGGTTTTTCATATGGGAGACAGGGCTCTATGTTTCTCCTAAATGAAATTCTCTCTTTGGAAACAAGTCTTTGCTCTGAGAGTCTATGAGAGATCTGAGCACGAGATCATTTTCTCAGCTGGGGAGCCAAGAAGAGATTGGACATTTGTCTCAAACAGTATAGGATTTCTTGCTTGAGCAGCGGGTTGGACTAGAGAATGCATGCTTTTGCTCAGGACTGCCCGCTCTCTTGAGGTCCCACAAATTACCCGCATCCCTCCAAAAGGGAAGCGAAGACTACAACCTTCAGGAATATATAAATACCGAGCCAGCCCCTGGGGAAGCACAATGGGGGAAGCACGACCCACCGTTTTCTCAGCCCCTGCGATCTAGCCTGAGAAGTGCATGACAACCGCGGAGCTCAGCCGCATCAGGACACCCATTTCTTGTGAAGCAACCCAGATACTGTCGCAGAGCGTCAAGAACGCGTTTCCAGCCTCGCCAAATCTCCGTCCCTGTAAAGCATTCCTTAGTAGTCTTTGCTTCCCGGAAGTGTCAGTGGAGGATTTTTTTTTCCTAGAGAGGCCAGACACGCACTTCCTGTCCTCCTGTTCAGAACTCCAGTCGTGCATGTAAAGAAATCTGTCAGTTCGCAGGAGGATCGTTCCCAGGCACGGAACCGGAATGAACGGCTCCCTCCGGATGGAAAGCGAAAGTTGCCTCAGTACCACTGCAGAAAAAGCAAGGGAAGGGTTGGACGACAAAGGCCGGGAAAAGCGGGAAGCCAGTACGATGTAGCTAGAAAAGAATCAGAATAGAGCTGGAAGGGACCTTGAAGGTCTTCTAGTCTAGCCCCCTGCTCAAGCAGGAAATCCTATACCATTTCGGATAAGTGACTGTCCAGTCTGTTCTTAAAAATCTCCAGTGATGAAGCATCTACAACTTCTAAAGGCAACTTCTATTCCACTGGTTTATTGTAATAATAATAATAATAATAAAGTTGGAAGGGACCTTAGAGGTCATCTAGTCCAACCCCCCTGCTCAGGCAGGAAACCTTATACCATTTCCTCACTCTTAAGTTTCTCCTTAATTCCAGGTTGCTTTTCTCCTTGATTGGTTTCCATCTTTTCTTGCTTGCCTTCTGATGCTTTGGAAAATAAGTTGATCCCCTCCTCTTTGTGGTAGGCCCTCAAATACTGGAATGGTACTATCATGTCCCCCTCCAGTCCTTCTTTTCTCTAGACTAGCCAAAACCAAATCCTGCAACTGTTCCTTCATGTTTTAGTCTCCAGGCCTTTAATCATCTTAGGGCTCCGCGGTTGCCAGGGGAATCCCAAGATCTGGGACCCCAACAGTTGGCAGAATAGGGTTTCTCCCCCCCCCCCATTTGATCTCTTATTATTTGTAATGAATCAAATTCAGTTTGGATTGAATAGTCCATGTTTTCTTTGCCTGGGACACATGAAGAGCTCTTCCCACTCCTCTGGGTGGGAAGATGCAGACAATTCCCCCAAATAGAAGCCATTGTTATCTCCTACGCTTTTTTTTTTTTTTTTGAGAAATAGCTGGGAGGGATGGTGATGGTTTAAAAAAAAAGGTTTTCCTACCTTTTCATCTTCACTTAAATCCTTTTCCCCTTACTTTGAGGGGCAGAAGGGGAGCTTGCAAAGAGTTCTGTGGAGAGATCTCATTGCAAGAAAGTAATAGCTTGGAATGCCATTTGGGATGAAGATACGGCTGCCCAATCCCCTCCTCATTCACAGGAATAGGATAGGGATAGGGGTAGAATAGGAATAGAATAGAATAGGAATAAGTTGGAAGGGACATTGGAGGTCTTCTAGTCCAATCCCCTGCTCAGGCAGGAATCCCTATCCCATTTCAGACAAACGGCTGTTCAATCTCTTCTTAAAAACTTTCAGTTTTGGAGCATCCACAACTTCTGGAAGCAAGTCTTTCCACTGGATAATTATTCTGTCAGGAAATTTAATTGCTTCTTTTTAGATCTTTTTAGGAAAGACACCCAGGGGAAAAGTAATCACGCTCTTCTCCTCTCGGCGTTATCAGTGAGGCATCTTCATTCTCCCAAACCCCGTCAGGAACCCTCTCTGGAGAATCCTTCCTTTTGCCCCCCCCCCCCAACTTCTAGCACAGTGATGGCGAACCTTTTAGAGACCAAGTGCCCCAAAAACAGGACCTGTCCCATCCCCCACCCTCCCCCAGCCCACCCCACCCTCTCCACCCACAGGGCCACCCACCGCCCCCATGGCCTGCCCCAGATTGCCCAGGTGGCCCAGCAGCGTCATGGCAGCCACGCCGTCAGCGCTCCAAAGCATCAACTGCACGCAACGGGGTGCGAGGGCGGAGTCTTGTCCCCGCTGCCCAGCTGCCATGTCCTTGCCTGCGCTGCTCCACATGGGCCGTGCTCGGGGGTGAGTCTCCTGTGGGGAGGCTGCTGGTGAGGAAGGGGCCACGGAGGGAGGCAAGGCTGGGGCAATGGCACATGTGCCCACAGAGAGGGCTCTGAGTGCCGCCTCTGGCACACATGCCATAGGTTCACCACCACTGTTCTAGCATTATCCTTTGAATGAGGCTTTGGGTCTTGGCCGCCTCCAATAAGACAACGAAATTTCTGACACACATACTTCTAAATATTCCTCCATTCCTTCAACAGATTCAGGAGGAAACCTTTCTGCTCTAACACCTTCACTCCCTGGTCTTTTGACCAACATCTAGCAGCCATACTGGTCTCTTAGTTCATTGTTAGGTCAGGACCCCACATTCTGTCACTCTCTTTTTCAGTCTGAGCACTTCTATGTATGCCTCCCTTGTCCTTCAGTATTTTTATGAGGGAAATATTTATGAGGGCAATGCCATTACTCCTCTGTTCCTTCATCAGCAGATTCAGGAGGAAACCTCTCTGCTCCAACATCCTTCACTCCCTGGTCCTTTGACCAATATCTGGCAGGCATATTGGCCTGTTAGTTCATTGTTAGGTCAGGACCCCACATTTGGTCATTCTTTTTTTCAGTTTGAGCACTTCCTCATATGCCTCCCTTGTCCCTCATTGTTTCTATGAAGGAAACATTTATGAGGGCAACACCATTTCTACCATCACCTTGTTCATTGACTAATAATTGATGGCCATATTGGTTCGTTTTCAGGTCAGAACCTGTCCTGAATCTCCCTCTTCTCTCTTCAGCGTTGCCTCTCAAACCCCTTCAGGACCCCTCTGCTTCTCCCTGGGGGAAGTCCTTCCTACTGCTCCCTCCAATTTTTAGCGTTATCCTTCGAATGAGGCTTTGGGGTCCTGCCCGCCTCCCCTCCACCCCGCCTCCTTTGAGCGAGTTTAGAAAGCCGCTCCGTCTGAGGGAACTGAGGGAAGCGCAAACACCGCGGCCAAGAGAAGAAGCGAGCCGGGATCAATGCTGGGGGAAAGATAACAACCCAACAGCCGAGCAATCGCGGAAGCTTCTGCCTCGATGCCCTCCCAGATTGAATCTGCCTCTCTGCCTGAGAGGAGCGCAGAAACCGCCGCTGCCGCCAAAACAAAAGAACCTTCGGGTGGGCAAAGGGCAGCCCAGTCCGCATAGCAACCGCAGCCGCCTTCAACCGCGCTGCACACCCATTGGCCAATCGTCCGCCCCTTGGACCAATCCCGGCCTGGCTGCGGGAAGCGGGATCCTCACGGCGAAAGCGACCCGCCTACCTACCGGGCGGTTGGGCGGCTCGGCTGTCTGTCCTGCTTGGAGGCTGGGCGTGGGCGGAGTCGGAAGCGGGAGCGCCTCTCCTGGAGCTTTCGAGGGGCGAGTGACGCAGGTGAGGCCGGAATGCGGGCTTCGCTCTGGCTATTGGCGGAGGAATCGTCTACTGTAGTCTGGGCGGAGCAAGCAGGCCGCCACTCCCTCTCTGCTCGCTGACACGCGTGGATCCGGAGTGATTGTGGCTCCTCCCGGGAAGGGGGAGGCGGAAACGGCGCGCCCTTTGCTCCACGCGAGCCCTGGTACCTTTTCCCGACCAGAGCCCTTCTGCCCCCCACCCCACCCCCGCTGTAGATCCTATACTGTAATTAATATATGTATGTGTTGGTGTGTGTGTATATATGTGCGTGTGTATGTGAGTGTGTATGTATATATGTGTAGGTATATGTATGTATATATATAGTGTGTGTGTATGTATATGTATATATGTTTATATGTGTATGTTTATATGTATACGTGTGTATATGTGTGTATATGTGTATATATATATATATGTGTGTGTGTTTATATGTTTATGTGTGTGTGTATAGACAGAAACAGACAGGAAGCGCATATGTATATGTGGGTGCATGTATGTGTATGATTATATGTTGTTTTTTGAGAGTGCGGGGTGCGCAGTTACGAGAGGGGGTGGATCTCAGAGGGGAAGATCTCTTGGCCTGCTCTCTGCCACCCGTAAATCTGGAGAGACTGTGGCTAGTGCCCCTTCCCGGCTGGAGTGGCTGGAGTCTCTCCCCAGGGCCTCCCGCAGCAGATCCAGGGAGCGAGCTCCAAGGCTGCAGCTCCCTGACTCTCGGGTATCAACTGAGGGCCTCAAGGCCCCTTCAAGCAGGAAGATGCTGACCTGGGGAAGTTACTCTGCTGGATCTGCCCAAAGAAGCCCCTCGGATCTGAGTTTAAAAAATATCCACCTTCATGAAGGGGCTCTGCGAGAAAGCTTGAAAAGGCAGGAGTTCCCAAAAAGAATAGCAGAGTTGGAAGGGACTTTGGAGGTCTTCTAATCCAGCCCCCTGCTCAGGCAGGAAGCCCTATACACGTAGTCCTTGACTTATGAACACAATTAAGCCAAAATTTCTGCTGTTAAGCAAGACATTTTTTAAGCGGGTTTTGCCCTATTTTACGACTTTTCTTGCCGCAATTGTTAAGTGAATCAGTGCAGTTAATAAGTTAGTAGCCTGGTTGTTCAGTGAATCTGGCTTCCCCCTTGACTTTGCTTGCCAGGGGATCACATGATCCTGAGACACAGCAAAAGTCATAACTATGAACCAGTTGCTTAGCATCTAAAGGTTGATCACATGATCGTGGGGATGCTTCAAAGTTCGTAACTATGAAAAGTCACAAGTCCCATTTTTCAGTGCCATTGTAACTTTGAACAGTTACTAGCCAAACTGTTGTAAGTGAAGGACTACCTGTAGTACCATTTCAGACAAATGGCTATCCAATCTCTTCTTAAAAACCTCCAATATTGGAGCACCCACAACTTCTGGAGGGAAGCCGTTCCACTGATTAATTGTTCTCACTGTCAGGAAGTTTCTCCTTAGTTCTCTCCTTGATTGGTTTTCATCTGTTGCTTCTTGTCTTGTCTTCAGATGCTTTGGAGAATAGGTTCAATCCCTCTTTTTTGTGGCAATGCCTTAGGCGTACCTTGGAAGGAAGTCTTCAAAAGACTGATGCTCTTTTCCATTATTTCATTGCAGGTTAGGAATAAGCAGCTTGTACCTCTAAAGAAAGGTCTTCCTTGTACAGAGATAAAAAGAGTGGAGCAACAAAGATGAATGAATGACACCGTTCAATTTCTCATCAGAGTTGTTGTGAAATTCCAGTTCCGTGAACTAAAGAAGTTTTGAAGACTTTCCCTGCTTGGAGGGTGCATGTGGAGTGCAGAGGGAAAATGAACAGAGGAAAACCAGCTTGGGAAGGACTGACACTTTGTGATCCTCTTCATAGGAAGAGCAGTGCAATGGACCAAGAACGGGCAGGACAAAAAAAACAGACTGAAGAAACAGTCAGTTTCCGTGCAAAGAGACAACCCTTCATGGAGCTCCACTACCAGGATGCTGAAGGTCCCCGAGGACTCTGCAGCCACCTCCATCATCTTTGCAATCAGTGGCTGAAACCAGAAAAGTACACAAAAGCCCAGATGCTAGACCTGGTGATCCTGGAGCAGTTCCTAGCCATCCTGCCTCCGGAGATGGGGAACTGGGTGTGGGAATGTGGAGCCGAGACCAGTTCCCAGGCAGTGGCCCTGGCCGAAGGCTTCCTCCTGAGCCAGGTGGAGGAGAAGACGCAAGGAGAGGTGCAAATCTAGTTGTTTACAAGTGAGGGAATAATGCCAGTGTGGAATATTTGGGGCATTTTTACATGGCTCTTATTTCCACACACAAATATTTTTGAAGGTGGATTGTTCTGTGTTCCCACATGTGGTACTTCTAATATCTTTCTTTGCTCTTCTCCACAGTTGCAGATAGAGGCACCCTTTCAGGGATCGATTGCTGAGCATCCTGAGGCAAGAAGGGATCTATTCAGTCCTTGCCAGAACAATTTCTTGGGGGGAATCTCTACAAAGGATCTGAATCATGACATGTCACCAGGTAAGTGAGGGATCCCTTCTGATGCAGAGAAATTCTTAAGAGTACTCCGTGGGTTTTATTCCTGAACTTTTAAAATCAACTCATAGCTTTGTGTGCTACAATAACGCTTGTTTCTAATTTTTTCCTGAATTGGTAAAGCATTCTTTTAAATAAATACCTATTTCCTCCCTCTTTCAGATGCAGAGAACAGAATCGCATACCAGCAGGTGGTAGGAGAAACATCTCCTTCCGATGAAGCAGAAGCAGACATTGGGCTTCCAGGGCAGGTAGGAGGAAATTTTCCTGTGCCCCAAAAAGTGCAAATATGGTTAGGACAAGAAGCATCTAAGCCAGTGGTTCTCGACCTGTGGGTTGGGACCCCATTTGGGGTCAAACGACCATTTCACGGGGGTCGCCAAACCACGCTGTCCGCCATTTTTTTCCCTTTTCCCTAGCTGTCCTACTCCCTCTTATTAGTGGCCACACCCACTTGGGGGTCACCACAACATGGGGAACTGTATTATGGGGTCACGGCATTAGAAAGTTTGAGAACCACTGATCTAAGCTATCTCCTGCCTCCATTTCAACCTCTGTTCCAACATGAGACTCTTTCCACCTGAGGGGTCCATGCGTGGCATGTTCTTTTCTTATATCTTCAAATATTTTATTAGCTTATTAAAATATAAAGTACAGAAATACAAAAAGAAGGAAAAAAAGGGAAAATAAGGGAGGAAAAGGAGAAGAGAAAAAAATGTTAAGGGAAAAGGAGAAAAAAAAGTAATGACTTCTGACTCTTTTTGGTGCAGTAGAACAAGGTAGTAGCATTTACTTTTACATAATATATATATATGGCTAATTATTTTATGTATATTTATATGTATGTGTGTATAATATAGATATAGAGATAGATAGAGAGAGAGAGAGAGAGAGAGAGAGAGAGATAAATAGAGATAGATAGATAGATAGATAGATATAGATATAAAAACTGTTTTATATATATATATTATATCCACACATATACATATACATACATGCATACATATATAAAATAGATTAGCCATTTCTATAACAACAATTCTTTCTAATCAGCAAAACTTAAAATCAGAGTTTCATTTTTTTCTACCTTAAGCACAAAGTCCAAAAGCAGCTTCCAAGTAGAAACAAAACGAATTGTGTTCTACTTGGAAGTCAATTTAGCCATCTCTGCTAAGTCCATCAAGTTTTGCAGCCGTTTTTCCATTGTGATAGCTCATCCTTTTCTTGATCAGTTCCTTTCCAAGCAAAGGATAGAGCTGGAGCAGTTCTGATGGTTGAAAGGCAGAGCTGGAACTGATGAGTCCAGAAAAATCTGTGATTCGGGCCTTCACAGGGACTGAATTCTGGGAGATGCAATGAAGTTAATCAGCCTTTCGGACCCTAATGATGTTGAGAGAGGATGGAGAAGGAAACCTTTCCTTTTACTCCCTCAAATTCTGAAAACAGCCAGGAAAAAGTGAATGTCACCACTTGATAGGTCTCAGAGAATTTCATCTTTCCCAAATTTCCTATTAATGAGGAATTTTTGCCTCTCTTTCAGGGTTCCATATTCTTCAAGGAGTTGTCCATCTGCTTCACCGAGGAGGAATGGGATCTGCTAGATTCTGATCAGAAAGCTCTGCACGGGGAAGTCATGCTGGAGATGTCTAGGAATGTGGCTTCTCTGGGTAAAAAAATCCCTCTTTGTACTTTGTCCAAATACAGGTACCGTGTTTCCCCGAAAATAAGCCCGGGTCTTTTTTTTTTTGCCTTCAAAAGAGGCACCAGGTCTTATTTTTGAGGGATATTTTACTCATCTCTGGCCCCAACAGCCCCACCCAGCTGGTCCACTTCTGGTCAAAGGAGCAGCTTCATTCTGCAGAGGGATTCTGGCCTGCATTTCGCAGTCAGGCCTTTCCAGAAGGCCTCTGCAGCTGAGTACTGAGCTATGGATTCAATCCATAGCTCGGTTCTCTGCTGCAGTGGCCTTCTGGAAAGGCCTGTGACTGAGAAATGCAGGCCTGGCTGCAGAAGATGCCTCAGAAGTGGGCCGGCGAGGAGAGGCCTCGCTGCAAGTGGGTGCAGGACACGTGGGGCAGCTCCACACACCCCCCCCCCAGCTTGACTTTTAGGTGTGTGCCTCGCCCCAAAACTAGGGCTTATTTTTGGGGTAGGGCTTATATTAGGCCCATTCCCAAAAATCAAGCTAAGGCTTATTTTCAGGGAACTACGGTAATCCTCAACTTAAAACAAGTCATTTAGTGACTGTTCAAAGTTACAACGGCACTGAAAAAATGTGACTTTCACAAGACCATTGTAGCATCCCCCCGATCATGTGATCAAAATTCAGGTACTTGGCAACTGACTCATATTTATGACTGTTGCAGTGCCCTGGGGTCATGTGATCACCTTGTGTAACCTGACAAAGTCAACGGGGAAACCAGATTCACTTAACTCTGTTAGTAACTTAACAACTGCAGGGATTCACTTAACAACTGTGGCAAGAAAGGTCGTAAAATGGAGCAAAACTCACTTAATAAATGTCTTATGATCAACAGAAATTTTGGGTTCAGTTGTAGTCGTAAGTTGAGAGCTACTGTAGTTGGATATGGCAAGTAGTAAGAAGGAATATATTTTGTTTCTTTCATCATATTCCCTAACCAGGAGATCATCTGACAAACTGACAACTGTATGAATCATTGACAAGTCAAAAGCCAAATATCTCTACTGGCAGTTAGGGAAGGGATCCTGGGAGTTTTTTTCCCCCCAAAATTAAATACCAATCCACTGTGAGGGTTGTGAACAAAAATCAAAAACCATGTTTGGAATTATATGGAGTTTAAAGAAAGAAGTCAGTAGGAAATGGCTCTTACAAAAATGTGTCATCTGACTGCATGTAAAATCATGTAATTTGATTTCAAAATCTGAACAATATTGTAAAGCTGGATTGGAGCCAGAAAGTTGAGACCAAATTAATTTGAGAAGAGAGAAGTTGCTCTGTTGAAAAAAATGATGGTGATTTGGATTATTTAACTTGGAGCAAAGTTGGTCAGGGGCCATATGTAGAATCATGCACTAGTGAACCAGTGAATAAAGAAAACATTTTCTTGCTCACTCTAACATTGTTAGAATTCGGGATCTTTGTATTAAAATGAAATGTGAAATACTTAGAAGAAAAAAGAGAATGATTTCAATATGTAGTTTAGCTGGAATTTTTTGCTACTGTGTTTTTCTCTCAAACAGGCAATGAGCAGAAGAATGAGATTTACCAGGAATCTGGAGAGACACCAATACAGATTTTAAAAGTTGAAGTGGGAGAAGAGGATCAATGGCAATCGAAAAGTGAAGACGGAATCCAATTAAATGATCAGCGGGAAATAAATCCTCCTCCTTTATCTCTGGAAATCTACGATATGCTGACCCAAGAAGATCTTAATCAAGAGAGGATGGGACAGTATTTAGGCTGTCATGAAGTATTTGATGGACAATCAAATTTCAATAGCCCATGTGAATGGAGACAGGAAGGGAACAGGTATAATCAAAACTCCCCTCCTTGTTGGGGAGATGAGATGGGGGGGAACACATTTAAATGTAAGGACTATGAAAACAACTTCAACTATGCCAGTAACCTTGTTTCCCATACAAGGAAACACACTGGAGAGAATCCATACAAATGTGTAGTGTGTGGAAAGAGCTTTACAAGGAATGATAAACTTACTGCTCATGTAAGAATTCACACAGGGGAAAAACCATATAAATGCACGGAGTGTGGAAAGAGCTTCACGAGGAATGACATACTTATTTCCCATAAAAGGATCCACACAAAAGAGAAACCATATAAGTGCATGGAATGTGGAAAGAGCTATAGTCATTCTAAAAGCCTTATATCTCATGAAATTATCCACAAAGGGGAGAAACCATATAAATGCATGGAATGTGGAAAGAGTTTTAGCCAGTGCAGTAGCCTTATCTATCATAAAAGAATCCACACGGGGGAGAAACCATATCAGTGTATGGAGTGTGGGAAAAGTTTCACACGGAATGATACACTGATTTCCCACAAAAGAATTCACACAGGGGAGAAGCCGTTTAAATGCTTGGAATGTGGAAAGAGCTACAGTCATTCCAGAAGCCTTATTTCTCACGAAACGATCCACAAAAGGGAGAAACCCTATCAGTGCATGGAATGTGGAAAGAGCTTCAGCCGATGCAATAGCCTTACCTCTCATAAAAGGATCCACACAGGAGAGAAACCGTATAAATGCATGGAGTGTGGAAAAAGCTTCAATCACTCCAGTAACCTTCGAACACATAAAAGTATTCATAGAGGAGAAAAACCACATAAATGCCTGGAGTGTGGAAAGAACTTCACCAGGAGCACAGATCTTACTTCCCATAAAAGGATCCACACGGGAGAGAAACCCTATAAATGTATGGAATGTGGAAAGAGCTTCACTCATTCCAATACCCTTACTTCCCATAAAACCATCCACACGGGGGAGAAGTCATACAAATGTACTGAGTGCGGAAAGAGCTTCAGTACAAACAGTTCTTTAACTTCCCACAAAAGGATCCATACAGGAGAGAAGCCTTATAAATGCATGGACTGTGGAAAGAGTTTCAGGACAAGCAGTTACCTTACTTACCATAAAAGAATTCACACAGGGGAAAAACCCTATCAATGCCTGGAGTGTGGGAAAAGGTTTAATCATCCCAGCACTCTTGCTTCCCATAAAACAATCCACACAAGAGAGAGACAATATAAATGCCTAGAATGTGGAATGTGTTTTACACAGAGTTGTCATCTCACTTCCCACAAGAGAGCCACAATGGGATTTAACTACATAAATGCTTAAAAACGGGGTGAGACCTTTCATTCTAGTGACTTGATTGCCCATATCAGAAAGTGCACGGAAAAAACAAATGCTTCAATGAGAATATTCTTGTTACTTCACCTTAAAAAGAGATGACCACATAGGTTAGAAAGTTGACAATGTTTCTTCCCGGAGGTTATACAGGTAGTCCTTGACTTAACAACAGTCTATTTAATGACTGTTAAAAGTTAAAATGGCACTGAACGGGGAGTTATGACCATTTTTCACACAACGGTTTATGAGATCATGCGGATTAGTTTTTGCGACCTTTTGACAAGCAAAGTCAACGTGGAAGCCAGATTCACTTAACAACCATGTTACTAACTTTAACAACTGGAGTAATTCACTTAAACTCTGGCAAGAAAGCTGGTAAAATGGGGCAAAACTCGCTTAATAAATGTCTCAGCCACATACATTTTGATCGCAAGCTGAAGACTACCTGCATGTGGTCTTTAATGATAAGCAGTGTTCAACCTTACAGCCAGTGGGTCCAGGAAAAAAAAAGTACATTTGATTTCCTTACCATTTTAAGTTTATTGATATCAAAGCCAACATGTTAAGTATACATTATATATTTATTCCCTTGTATTTTTAATGATTTCCCTTGTGATGTCAAGGCTGATGGTCAACATAAAGCCTCTTATGCTTTGGGAGTCACCCCCCAGATTTTCCAAGAGTCTGTTGGGGTGCAGTTTACTCTGAGCTTTCAGATGATAGGATTAACCCTACTTTGGCTTCCTTCCCCCCCCCCCCAAGCAAAGTATAAAGTCTTAAAGAAAAGCAGAAATAATATTTTTCCTCAGTGTTTCATAAAAATAGCTTTCCTGGGCTCCAAGATCACCGCAGATGGGGACTGCAGCCAAGAAATTAAAAGACGCTCCTGGGGAGGAAAGCTATGGCAAATTTAGACAGCATACTAAAAAGCAGAGACATCACCCTGCCAACTGTAGTACGTATAGTCAAGGCCATGATTTTCCCAGTTGCAATGTATGGCTGTGAAAGTTGGACCATAAGAAAGGCTGAGTGCAAAAGAATTGAGGCCTTTGAACTCTGGTGCTGGAGAAGACTCCTGCAAGTCCCTTGGACTGCAAGGCGATCAAACCGGTCAGTCCTAGAAGAGATCAATCCCGACTGCTCTTTAGAAGGTCAGATCCTGAAGTTGAAACTCAAGTACTTTGGCCACCTAATGAGAAGGAAGGATTCACTGGAGAAGAGCCTAATGCTGGGAAGATTGAGGGCAGCAGAAGAATCGGATGACAGAGAATGAGGTGGCTGGATGGAGTCACTGAAGCAGTAGGCATGAACTTAAATGGACTTCAGAAGATGGTAGAGGACAGGAAGGCCTGGAGGAACGTTGTCCGTGGGGTTGCGATGGGTCGGACATGACTTAACTAACAAGAACAAGGGGGCAGAATGGCTCAGCAGTTAAAGATGCTGAGCTTGTCAGTTGAAGAACCGACAGCCTGTGTTCGAGATCCAAGCACCGTGCGACTGGGTGAGCTCCTGTTACTTGCTCCAGCTGCTGCTCATCTAGCAGTTTGAAAGCATGCAAATATGAGTAGATTACTAGGTACCACTTAGGTGGGAAGTCAATAGTCTTCTGTGCACCTCGGCATATAGTCATGCTGGCTACATGACTAGAGAAGTGTCTTCAGACAATGCTGGCTCCCTTGGCTAAGAAACAGAGGAGCACCACCACCTCTAGATTTTGGACATGACCGAAATGGGAACCCTTTACCTTTAATTTGCTTGTATTAGAAAGTAAAGGATGTGATCTCTAAACAAAAGCAATCAGCCTATAAGCTTACCTCAAAATTGTAGAAGCATTTAAAGTTTCCAAAGAGTCAATTTAGATGTTTATGCTGATTAAAGATAATAAAGTTTGAGAATGCTTGAGGAATGTTCACAATGTTGCCTTTTAAAATGTAATTATGATGATGAATGTGCTTAGGATGAGATTTCATAGCAGTGAATGGAATAGAGGAAAACCTTCCAACACTGCAGTGACTTTATAAAAAAGCATACTATTTGAAAACAAGGTATAGAAAAAGGCAGAATTCAAATCTTAACTCGGTGTGACACAAATCAGAGATCAGGATCCACAAATGCAGAATGAATGACAAGCTGCAGCAATAGCAGATTTCCCTAATATAAATTGATTGATTAATTATGTACCATTGACTTAGTGTTGACTCTTAATGATCAGGTAGATTTTCTCCCTGATGATTTGTCCCTAATTTGTTTTTTTTTTAGATCTTACTGGATTATTAAATGGGACCACCTAATTGTGATCTTAAAGCCACCAGATGTAATTAAGTTGAATTATCTAAGTTTAAAAAAAACCTACCTGGCGACTTAGTGTTGACTCTTAATGATCAGGTAGAAAATTTTCTCCCTGATAATAATAAAGTTGGAAGGGACCTTGGAGATCCTCTAGTCCAACCCCCTGCTCAGGTAGGAAACCCTATACCATTTTGGACAAATGGCTGTCCAGTCTCTTCTTAAAGACTTCCAGTGTTGGAGCATTCACTGCTTCTGGAGGCAGGTTGTTCCACTGGTTAATTGTTCTGTCAGGAAGTTTCTCCTTAGTTCTAAGTTGCTTCTCTCCTTGATTAGTTTCCATCCGTTGCTTTTTGTCCTGCCTTCAGGCGTTTTGGAAAATAGCTTGACTCCCTCTTCTTTGTGGCAGCTCCTGAGATATTGGAACACTGGTATCATGTCCCCCCTCATCCTTCTCTTCATTAAACTAGACATACCCAATTCCAGCAGCCATTCCTTATATGCTTTAGCCTCCAGTCCCCTAATCATCTTTGTTGCTCTTCTCTGTATTCTTTCTAGAGTCTCAACATCTTTTTTACATCGCAGTGACCAAAACTGGATGCAGTATTCCAAATATGTCCTTACTAAGGCATTGTGAAGTGCTATTAACACTTCACGTGATCTTGATTCTATCCCTCTGTTAATGCAGCCTAGCACTGTGTTGGCCTTTTTGGCAGCTGCAGCACACTGCTGGCTCATATTTAAGTGATTGTCCACTAGGACTCCAAGGTCCCTCTCACAGTTAACTACTATTGAGCAAGGTACTTGTGCATTTGGTTTTTCTTGCCTAAATGTAGAACCTTGTTTTTTCACCATTGAATTTCATTTTGTTAGATAGTGCCCAGTGTTCAAGTCTGTCCAGATGCTTCTGTATCTTAAGCCTGTCTTCTGGAGTGTTGGCTATTCCTGCCAGCTTGGTGTCGTCTGCAAATTTGATGAGTTCCCCAATCTATCCCCTCGTCTAAATCGTTGATGAAGATGTTGAAGAGTACTGGGCCCAGTACCCACCCCACTACATACTTCCCTCCATGTAGATGCGGTTCCATTGAGGACCACGTGCTGAGTACGGCCGGTCAGCCAGCTACAGATCCATCTGGTGGTGATGCTGTCTAACCCACATTTTTCTTCTTATCAAGTAGTAGGCTGTGATCTACTTTATCAGATGCCTTACTGAAGTCCAAGTAAATTATATCCACAGCATTCCTCTGATCCACTAATTTTGTCACTTGGTCAAAGAATACAATAAGATTTGTCTGGCATGATCTGTTTTTGACAAACTCATGTTGGCTTTTAGTAATGAGTTTGTTTGCCTCTAGGTGTTCATTGATTCGTTGTTTGATTATCTTTTCCAGGATCTTCCCAAGTATTGAGGTCAGGCTGATAGGTCTGTAATTTCCTGGATCCATTTTTTTTCCTTTTTTGAGGATGGGAACTACATCAGCTCTTTTCCAGTCCTCTGGTAGTTCCCCTGTGTTCCAGGATCTTTGAAAAATATAGTTCAGTGGTTCCGATATCACATCTGCCAGTTCCTTGAGAACCTTGGGGTGTAATCCATCTGATCCTGGTGATTTGAACTCGTCTAGGCTGGACAGGTGCTCACTTACCATTTTCTTGCCTATCTTAACTTGTGTTTCTATTTTGTTTTTTATGGCACTATTTTTGATAGGTTGGTCTGTTTTTTCCCTTTGTGTAAAGACAGATGCAAAAAACGAGTTAAATAGTTCTGCTTTCTCTCTATTGCTTGTCACCTTCTTGCCACTTTCACCCACTAACGGACCAATCATTTCCTTCACTTTTTTCTTGTTTTTTACATGTTGAAAGAAGCTTTTTTTGTTATTTTTGACTTTGGTCAAAAATGATCTGTCCCTAACTTTTTTTTTTTAGATCTTACTGGATTATTAAATGGGACCACCTAATTGCGATCCTGAAGGCACCAGATGTAATTAAGCTGAATTATCTAAATCTAAAAAAAAAAAAACCTACCTGGCTTAGAAGTCAAGTCCTAAAAAGAAAGGCAGTTTTCAGTATCACTCAGCATCTGCAGGAAGCTCAGTAGGTTGGCTGGGCACCTTATAATAATAATAATAGTAAAGTTGGAAGGGACCTTGGAGGTCATCTAGTCCAACCCCCTGCTCAGGCAGGAAACCCTACACCATTTCGGACAAATGGCTGTCCAGTCTCTTCTTAAAAACTTCCAGTGTTGGAGCATTTATTGCTTCTGGAGGCAGCTGTTCCACTGATTAATTGTTCTCACTGTCAGGAAGTTTCTCCTTAGTTCTAGGTTGCTTCTCTCCTTGAT